GCAATTCCAGCATGCTAGAAGGAAGAGGGAGGACTTTGTTGAGTTTCAGTTCAAATGTTATTGAGAGGCTACACAAAAGAAGGGGAGGGGAGGAGAGGAGAGGAGAGGAGAGGGAAGGGGAAGGGAGGGGAGAGGAGAAGGGAGGGGAGGGGAGAGGAGAGGAGTAGAAGGGAGAGGAGGGGAGAGGGGAGGAGATGGGATGGGATGGGAAAGGATGGAAGGGGAAGGGGAAGGGAGAAGAAAGGGAAGGGGAGAAGAGAGGAGAGAAGGGAAAAGAAGATAAAAGAAGAGAGGAGAAAGAGATTGTTACTAATTTAACAACTGCAGTAATTCACTCAACAACTCTGGCAAGGAAGGTAGTAAAATGGGGCCAAACTCACTTAGCATGTCTCGCTTAGCAACAGAAATGTGGGGCTCAGTTGTGGTCTTAAGTTGAAGACTACCTGCAACGGCCTCTCTTCTGAGAGTCTCACTTTCCCAGTCCCTAAAATTGCCCAGAAGATTCATATCACATGCATAATATTAACTCTGAGAAATTCCGAGCCCAGCAATCAGATGGGATCATGAGGTCAGATTAAAGCAAGCAGCAACAAGGACAGCAACAACAACAACAAAAAAAAACAAAAAAAAAACCCCAGGAACGAACAGGAACATTTCTTTGCAATGTGGTTTGTGTTCACTTGCAGCAGATGCTTGTAAATTATCTCAGAGGAAACCAACGTGCACTTTGGAGTCATTTTCCCTGGTGCTTTGGGATGAAAAAAGGAGAGCCACAGAAGGAGAGCTTTCTCCAACAAAAGCAACGTTAATTGTCAACTGTCTCATACTGTAGATTATCACGTGAAATGTGATGCTATCCAAACACGTGAGACATGTCAGCCGGGATCGGGGAAGAAAGAGGCTACATTTGTTAATCAGCAGTTACAAATGGTATGTATTTCAACATGTCCTCCTCTATAAAGAAAAACACAGCTAGGCTGAAGTAGGAAACCACTTGATGTAAGTAACATCACTGGAAACGTGATATTTTGAAAGAGAAAATGTCTTGCAGCCCTCGCTTCCATTAACACTGGGCATAATCCTCCTTGTTGCATTTGGACAAGAAATCTGACTGCAAAAACAGTTTCAGTGTATAGATTTCTGAGCTAATACTGAGAAGAAACATGTTGCTTCAATGTCGGAGTCACCTTAAAAAGTAACTCCAGGTGCTACATTCAATGAAGGAGTTGTTGTTGTTGTTGTTGTTGTTGTTGTTGTTGTTGTTGTTGTTGTTGTTGTTGTTCTTCTTCTTCTTCTTCTTCTTCTTCTTCTTCTTCTTCTTCTTCCTCCTCCTCCTCCTCCTCTTCCTCCTCTTCGTCTTCCTCTTTGTCTTCCTCTTCCTCTTCCTCTCCTCCTCCTCCTCCTCCTCCTCCTCCTCTTACTCTTACTCTTCCTCCTTCTCCTCCTCCTCTTCCTCGTCCTCTTCTCAAGCTATGGATTTTTTTTAGAATAACTATTCCCTCTTTTTTTTTAATCTAACAACCTCCATGCTGTAAAAATCACTTTCCTTTGATTTATTACCTTCAATTTATGTTGAGAGTTCAGTATAAAAATTCCCAGCTTGTAACACTTAACCAAGTTCTCCACTTCTACGAAAATATTAACCTTTCTTCCATTTTTCATAACACTGGAACCTGAGCTGGCTTAATGAAATGGTCTCCCGATAAAAGACTTTCTGCCACGCAATATGTATCATCTAATAATTGAGGCTATTGTTTTCTACTAATTAGCCACTAACTGGGATAGCTTTCCATTTAGGGAAAATCAAAGAGGTGGGAGTATCTTATATATTAGTTGGAAAATCCTTTCTCTCGGTAAGCAATATGGTACCATCCATTGATGAGAGGGTTTTTTTTAAAGTAGGAGAATGAGAAGGCTGAGTGGATCATGGTAGAACTTAGAGGAGAAATACAAATTGAAAAGTGGTTTGATGGTAAGATGGTATAGCTAGAAGGATGGTTCTTCTTCTTCTTGTTGTGCCATATCCATTATCGGACGTTGGCAATCATGTTGGCGATCCTGTTTTTATCAGCAGCCACACGAAAAAGTGCTGCTGAGTTTTGTCCAAACCAGTCCCTTAGATTTTGAAGCCACGATGTTCTTCTTCTGCCTGGACCTGGTTGGCCTTACATCTTTCCCTGGAGGATTAAATGGAGTATGCCATATTTTTCTGGGTGTCGCATCACATGTCCAAAATATTCTAATTTTCATTTTTTAATTGTTTTGATGATTTCCCTTGGCTTTCCCAGGCGGCTTATCACCTCCTCATTTCTGATCTTGTCAACCCAGCTTATACTGTACGTAACGGCCGCCTGTAAATCCACATTTCAAATGCTTCTAGTCTCTTCAGGTGGCCTTCTGTCAGAGACAGAAGGATGGTTAGGTTTTCTTATCCACCATTCAGAGTTAATGTGTCTAAAAACTCAAAGACAGAGGTCTTGTGAAGCTGTGCTAAATACCATCAGAAAGAAGTGATTGATAACAACAAGAAATCTGGACAGGTTACCCAAGATCTGGTTGAGCTGTCTTGGAAACTGAAGAATGGAGTAAAACAGAAAGGGAAGTTGGGCCTCCAGAAGTCCTTGGAGATTCTCTCCTTGCTCTTTGTCACATTACCAGAGTGATGGGAATCCAATGACACCTGATCTCCTGCTATCCCTTAAAGTAGACCTTCAACCGATGAAGCCCCTCACTTCCTTGCTGTTCTTAGGAGGCACTACCCCTCCCTCTGGAGCCCATTTTGGCAATCATCCACTTGAACCATCCCAAATTTCCACTGGATGTCAGTATTCCACAGAAATGCAGTCATTTAACCAGCAGTTTAAGAAAAAAAATGCTCCTCTTAAGTTAAGCTGTTCAAAAAAAAAAAAAAAAGGACAGTTCTCTCCCTGTTCAAATCCATCTTAATTATAACAGGAGCCCTCTCAGAAAGATTGTGTTTACAATAAAAGACATCTAAACTGACTTCTACCTTGCCATGCCAAAAGGAAGAAGAAAGAAACGAGAAGTTGGATTTAGTTTCAGAAAAAAAACAAATGAACATTTTCACTCATCTCCCCACAGCCTTGATATGTTGATGTGCTGTTAAAAAGAGGAAAAGGAGGTGATATAAAGGGTAGGGGCTCTTTCCTTTCTTGACACTTCCCCCCACCCCTGCTTTTTGAGAAGCTTTTCTTTTTTTAAAAAAAAGAAAAACACAAGAACTACACAAATACAAGGGTTTTTTTCTCTTCCTCAAAATGGCAAAAGCTGAACATGTCAGAAAATGATTGATTGCTTGCGGGTTTCAGCCTCTGATAATTGAGCTTAACTCCATGTCTCCTCTTTGCTACTGAACAGGATTAGGTGGCAAACAAAGAAAAAAGAAAAAGAAAAAGAAGAGGGAGGGAGGGAGGGAGGAAGGAAGGAAGGAAGGAAGGAAGGANAGTCTACAACATACTTTCCCTGCCTAACCAGGACAGGCTGATGTAATGGAGTGAAGATGGTTCCATAGGTAATTTGGCCCCACACCATGAAGAGCTTTAAAAACCAAAGCCAACACCTTGAATTGAACCCAGAAGCAAACTGGCTTGCGGTGTACTAGAAATGGCACAAACCCCAGGATGAAAATGTGTTCCATTTTGGTAGTAAAAATATCATTATCTTGTTTTAAAAGGTAGACTGAAATTTTCCCTGTATCCTAGATCTTCCCCCAAAGAATGAAAGACATTTCTGACTTTTGATTTATCTGGGACTGAGAGTGTTTCAGAAATCTGGGCATGACAGAACAAAAGTGAAAATAAATAAAATAAAGCTACATAAACTACAAGTAAAACTAAATAAAATAAAACTTAATAAAAGTAACAGGAGAGGGAGAGTAGAGTAGAGTTGAGTTGAGTTGAGTTGAGTTGAGGGAGAGGGAGAGGGAGAGGACAGGGAGAGGGAAAGGAAGAGTAGAGTAGAGTAGTAGAGTAGTATAGTGTAGTGTAGAGTAGGGTAGGGTAGAGTAAGAGTAGAGTAGAGTAGAGTAGAGGGAGAGGAAAAAGGAAGAGTAGAGTAGAGTAGTAAAGTAGTATAGTGTAGTGTAGAGTAGGGTAGGGTAGGGTAAGGTAGGGTAGGGTAGAGTAGAGTAGAGTAAGAGTAGAGTAGAGAGGAAAAAGAAGAGGGAGAATAGAGTAGTGTAGAGTAGAGGGAGAGGGAGAAGGGAACAAAATAATAAAACAAAACAGAATAAAATAGATTGATTAAAATAATTGAAAAAAATAATAGACTAAAATAAAATAAAATAAATAAAAATATAACATAATATACAAGGAAATAAAATAATAAAAATAAAATACAAGGTGTGTATGAGTGTGCGTGTGAAGACCTTCCTGTGTTTTGCTTCCCTTCACTGACCCCAGGTTGGAGCCCTTCCAGATAGCTCCATTCTGCTTTCTGTCAGCGTTTCCTTTCTACAGGAACTCCTGGAGAAGATTGGGTGGGAATCCGGTGATAAAAAAAAAAAAAAAAACCAAGCTCCTTTTTCACTGCCTGAGAAAGGAAAACAAAGCAGAAGACATGACGTTTCCTGCAAGTCTTCAGTAAGTCGATAAGCTTAATTGGCTAAGGCTGTCTCCTGTACATTGATTGCACCTTCTAATAAAAGAGCTATTGATTGGCAAGTTAGAGAACTAGCTTGTATGGGCTACAGTTCTCCTAATGTTATTACTACATCAACCTTTTTCCTGTTTCTTGTTCCTTGGCAGGATAAATTATATCGGATGCCAAAATCTCTCCCCCCACCCTCCCCTTCCTCTAAGTTGGATAGTTTTTCTCCAACTCATTTTTTTTTTATATCTTCTTGTCTCCAAGCAAGTCTTCCTGAGGTGAACCCCCAATTCCAAAGAGGGAACCCTGGTCCAAAGCGGCAGGCTTATTTTTTTTATCTTTTAATTCCCCCCCCTCCCAAAATCAAATAAATTGAAATGCCCTGGCATTACTTTAATGTGGCTGTGATTAGTGGGCCGCAACTCCACCGTCTCCTTTGGGAAGCTCGCGACACCCTTGTTGACCTCGCTAGTGCTCGTAGAGGTTAGTGCATTGATAGCCATCTCGTCTGTGCATGTGGCGTGCAAAGTAAGATTAAAAGGCTGCCACGGTTCAGCTTTTGAACTTTCCAGGAGCAGCAATCTGGTTGGCCACTTGGAAACGAGATGAGGAACTGATTAAATTCAGCAAGATTCAAGTTCTTCCATAATATACGGTAAGGATGTCCAACCTTGTCAACTTTTAAGTCTTGTGGATGTCAACTCCCAGAATTCCCCAGCCAGTATGGTGTCTAACCTTTAAGACTTGTGGACCTCTACATGGCTGACTGGAGAATTCTGGAAGTTGAAGTCCACAGCTCTTAAAGTTGACAAGGTTGCACAAACGTGCTACAGCTTCATCTGAGGAGGTCTAGATTTGGCACGTTCTAAGGAGACCATTGGTAAATTCTGTGACTGCAGCCTTGACTTCCATTCTGGGAGAGAGGTTAATCTACAAAACCAAGTTGATATATTTTACACTGGGAATAATTTGGGTTACCCAAATAGACAGGAAGAGATTTTTCTCCGCTTGGGAAGAAAGGAACATCACAACAATTTCCAGCAGAAGTTAGGGAAGACCGTTTTGCTATCACGAGCATCATCAAATCTCTGCTACGTTTAGATGAGACAGTGGTAGCTTTATTCATTCATTCATTTAATGTTTGGATGGCAACAGATCCAATTCCCAACCACCCATTCACTTTTCCCCGGTACAAATTCCCAGGTGCAGCATGGTTCCAGGGCATCATGGGAGAAAAAAAATGACTGCTGAGGAAAGAAGGTTTGATCAGATTGAATTGAGGTAACACGCAGGAAACAGTTAAATCCTTTCTTCCCAACTTACAAACGTATCCTTGGAATAGATCGGTTAAGATACTTTGAACAGAGCAGCTTATGGAGGGATCACTACCACCTAAAGACTTTTCAAAATGAAAAAGGTGCAAAGGGAACTATACATTTTATCAGGAAGAGGGACACAACTGAAAAGGATTTACTCTTCTTGGGGGGAAAAAATAGGACTACAAGTATACTAAATTAGAGGTAGATAGATAATGAAGATAGCTAGCTAGCTAGATAGCTAGCTAGCTAGCTAGCTAGATAGATAGATAGATAGATGATAGATAGATAGATAGATAGATAGATAGATAGATAGATAGATAGATAGATAGATAGAACATAATGTAGTAGATAGAGATAGTAGATAATGTAGAGAGAGAGAGAGACATATAGATAGATGATGATGATAGATAGATAGATATATAGATATAGATATATAGATATAGATATAGATATAGATATATAGATATAGATATATAGATATAGATATAGATATAGATATAGACAGACAGACAGACAGATAGATAGATAGACAGACAGATAGATAGATACACACACAGAGAGAGAGAAAGATAGGAGAGAGAGAGAAACTGACAGATATTATAGAGTGGTAGAGATTATTTTAAGTTAGTTTTCCAGTTGCTTTTAAAAAAAAGCCTGGGGTTTTTTTTCTTTTAATGCTTGGCACTGTTGAATTCTCTTTTCTATATACTGCTCTTGTATCTAACTTTACGACACATCTGTCTATAAAACAAAAACTATCATAACTACCTAACATTTTTTAAAAGAAATCACAAAGAGTCTGGCATCTGATGATAATGCAGCAAAGAGGCTGTAATGCAAATGTAGGTACTTTATTGCATGTATTGTTTAAATAATAGAAGAGCGGGTCTAGAGGAAGGAAGAGTAATTAAAGATTTAAATATCCTCTCTCTACTATTGAGTTCAGAATGCACCTTTTTTTTTTACATGTTCTCTTCCCTCTTCTTCCAAAGGCTGAATAATGTGCTGTTTGAATGATATTTATACCTCCAAGTGTATATCCTATTTTTTTTGTGTATTTTATTCTCTCTCTCTTCTCTCTCTCTCTCTCTCTCACACACACACATACACACATGCGTGCACACACAAACACATACAACTATCCCCATGTTATGTCAAGAGAAAGGAGAAAGAAGATTTAGTTTTAGCTTTCCAAGGATCCTGATTGAAGACAGTATCAGGAAAGACATTTTCTTGCAGACATTACTAAGGGAAGAATGAGTAACACACACACACACACACACACACACCTGCACACACAAAGACACCCCCCAAGATCTTTAAACAAGCAACATTTTTGCTTTATTGAGTGGGCCCATCTTGTAGTCATCAGTTGAGGCAAAATTTGGAAAAAAAGACAGGTTCTGTTTCCAGAATAGAATGGAGTGGAATGGAGGAAAAATAAGGAATAGAATAGAATAGAATATAGAATATAGAATAGAATAGAACAGAACAGAATAGAATAGAATAGGACATATTGTAGAATAGAATAGAATAGAATAGAATAGAATAGAATAGAACAGATTGTAAAATAGAATATAGAGTAGAGTAGAGTAGAACAGATTGTAGAATAGAATGGAATGGAATGGAAGTTAGAAGGTAGAGGATGGGATGGGATAACTTTATTTGGCCAAGTGTGATTAGACACAAAAGGAATTTGTCTTCAACGCAGAAGCTCTCAGTGTGCATGCAAAACAACAGAGTAATAATCATAATAATGATACCAGCAAGGGAAGTCCAAATACCGAATTATAAAATGAAACTTGGACATTCCTCTTCGGAACTTGGTTAAGTACTACTCCAGCAGCTACCTTCGAGTCCCCAATGGGATCCCATCCCCTGCAATGGATGGGGAAGGCAGGTCTTGTTTTTTTTTTTTTTTAACCACCCCGCCGCGTCTCATAAAAGCGTTCCCGCGTAAGCCCCTAAAATAAACAAACGTCCGACTCTTTTGCTTCCCCGTGTAAATTATCCGCGGGGAATAGTAATATTTGATTTACCCGTCCTCCCCCTGGGCTGCCTCCAAGGCTAATGCATCCGAGTGGCACAGGGCATAACCCAGTCCTCTAAATCAAGAGGGGGGGAAGGGGGGGGGGACAAGGACGTTTGCCAAAAATTGATTAAATCAGACGTCAGGGAAAGGAGTAGCCACCGCCCTGCGTTTAAAACTGCATTGATTTCCCGTGATGCTCTGCGTCGGTTAATTAATTGATTGCTTAATTAAAAACGGTGACTCAGAGCGGTCTGAAAGCCCTAAAAGCAGTGTCTCTCTGTGTGTGTGTGTGAGAGAGAGAGAGTGTGTGTGTGTGTGTAATTGTGTGTAGTTGTCTGTGTGTAGTTGTCTGAGTACTGCCCACCCACGGCTCAACTTTCTTTTTTCCAAGGGATGCAAGGTATCCTATGCAGGAAGGCGGTGCGCGCGCGCGCCGCGCGCCCAAATGGAGCTCTGCGCGCGCTCGCCCGCCCGCCTGCCTGTTGCGCGCTCAAGTGCAGCTGTGAGATTTTAGAAGTTTCTTCTCTTTCTTTTCACATTCAGAAGGAGACCCATGTTGGGGCACTGGCGAGGTAGGCTTAGCCAAAACCACGGGCGTGTGGGTTCTTTATTTCCGAGCAAGGTATTTGGGAAGGCGGGCTCGCCAGCAGCTGCTTCTCGGAAGCTCACCAAGTGGTGTTAAGAGGCATTAATGCAAATGTTTAGGGACATGAGAGAACATTTCTGGATGGCTAATGGGAAAGGGGAGGGGAAGGTGGAGAGAAATGAAGAAAGAAGGAGGGAGGGAGGAAGGAAGAAGGAAGGAAGGAAGGTGGGGAGAGAGAGGAAAGAGAGAGGAAGAGAGTAAGGAAGGATGGAAGGAGAGGGAAGAAGAGAAGAGGGAGGGAGGAAGGAAGGAAGAAGGAAGGAAGGTGGAGAGAGAGAGGAAGAAGGGAGGGAGGGAGTAAGGAAGGATGGAAGGAAAGGGAAGGAGAGAAAGGGAGGGAGGGAGGAAGGAAGGAAGGTGGAGAGAGAGAGGAAGGAGGGAGAGAGAGAGGAAAGAAGGATGGAAAAAAAGGGAAGGAGAGAAATGGAGGGAGGGAGGAAGGAAGAAGGAAGGTGGAGAGAGAGGAAGGAGGAAGGAAGGAAGAAGGAAGGAAGGTGGAGAGAGAGAGGAAGGAGGGAGGGAGAGAGTAAGGAAGGATGGAAGGAGAGGGGAAGGTGGAGAGAAATGAAGGAGGAAGGGAGGAAGGAAGGAAGGCGGGAGAGAGGAAGGGAGAGAAGAAAAAGAAGGAAGGAAAGAAGGAAGGAAGGGAAGGTGGAGAGAGGAAGGAAAAAAGGAAGAAAGGAATGGTCAAATGGTATATGGCAGTGGTGGTGAACCTATGGCACGCGTGCCAGAGGCAGCACTCAGAGCCCTCTCTGTGGGCACACGTGCCATCGCCCCAGCCTTGCCTACCCCACGGCCACCTGCTCACCAGCAGCAGATCAGCGCAGCCAAGGACATGGCAGCTGGGTAGCAGGTACAAGATTCCGCCCTCGCACTCCGTCATGTGCAGATGATGCTGCAGGGCGCGGGTGGAGGGTGTGACCACCATGGCGCTGTTGGGCCACCTGGGCGATCTGCTGCGGCGGGCTGTGGAGGCGGTGGGTGGCCCTGCGGGCAGGCAGGGCATGGGGTGGCGGGCAGGGCAGGAGCAGGAGCAGAGTGGTTTTGGGGCACTCGGTCTCTAAAAGGTTCGCCATCACTGGTATATGGCTTTCCTCTCTCATTAACTTAGAGGGCAAAAGTTCTTCTAGCTCTAGAGACCTTTTAGCGTGAATGAATTTACCTCTCTCAATATATGTTTACCTTGGCCTTCCTCAGCTTTTTGTGGGAACCCTACTCTTGTGTCCCCTGACTGTGTGAAACAGACCTCGGTTGTTTGCAACACTTCTGAAAGCTTTTGTTTTTTTCCAAGGTTTTGTTTGTTGTTTGCGTTGCCCATTGGATGAAGTTTGTCCTCTACAGTTGCCTTCATTTCATTCTATTTATTTTTTTTTAACGTTTCTTTTAAAAAGCCAGACAACATCGTGTTCAAAGCTGCTGTGAATTTCAATCCCTGGATCAGGGTTGTAGAAAAGGGAATGCATAACTCAATGGCAGACACATTAAGCACACTGTTAAACTGTCAGAAGCTGATGATTAATTAATCTATTGACCACTGCTATCAGGGATGTATTTTCCCTAATCAATATTTTTTTTAAAAAAAATAAAAAAATAATAAAAACCTCTTAATTGTAATTGAAACGTTAAGATGCTCTGGCAATTGCCTTCCTTCAGAAGCTTTCTCCCCAGGATACGACCGCTTCTGCACAACTAATATTGCAGAGAGAGAAATAATTTAGAGGTAGCCAGGAAGGAAGTGTGTTTTATTTTTCTTTGATAATATCCACTTCGTTGATAGGGAGCAAGGAAGCCTGAATCTGGATAATGAAGAGATTCCTCAACTTTCCTAACTCTCAAATATATGTCGGATGTTCAACAGCTCATAATAACAATAACAATAACAATAATAATAATAAAGTTGGAAGGGACCTTGGAGGTCATCTAGTCCAACCCCCTGCTCAGGCAGAAACCCTATACCATTTCAGACAAATGGCTGTCCAATCTCTTCTTAAAGACTTCCAGTGTTGGAGCATTCACCGCTTCTGGAGGCAGGCTGTTCCACTGGTTAATTGTTCTAGCTGTCAGGAAGTTTCTCCTTAGTTCTAGGTTGCTTCTCTCCTTGCTTAGTTTCCATCCGTGCCTTCTTGTCCTGCCTTCAAGTGCTTTGGAGAATGACTTGACTCCCTCTTCTTTGGGGCAGCCCCTGAGAGATTGGAACACTGCTATCATGTCTCCCCTCGTCCTTCTCTTCGTTAAACTAGACATACCCAATCCCAGCAACCGTTCCTTATATGTTTTAGCCTCCAGTTCCCTAATCATCTTTGCTGCTCTTCTCTGTACTCTTTCTAGAGTCTCAACATCTTTTTTACATCGTGGTGACCAAAACTGGATGCAGTATTCCAAGTGTGGCCTTACCAAGGCATTGTAAAGTGGTATTAACACTTCACGTAATCTGAGGGTCCTTGGTGTCCTCTGAGTTTGGTTGTTTTCTTGAAGATGTTTCATTCCCCAAATTTGGCAACATCATGAGTGCTGACAATATGACAGGCAGTCCTCAACTTACGACCACAAAATCGAGCCCAACGTTTCTGTTGCTAAGCGAGACGTTTGTTAAGTGAATTTTTCCCCGTTTTACAAAGCTTTCTTGCCACCGTTGTTAAGTGGCTCTCGCCGCACTTGTGAAGTTAGTCACACCGTTGTGAAGCGAAGCTGGCTTCCCCTGTTGACTTTGGCTGTGGGAAGGTCACAAAAGGTGAATCACATGATCCCGAGACACTGCAACCGTCATAAATATGAGTCTGTTGCACAAGGGTCTGAATTTTGATCGTGGGGATGCTGCAACAGTTGTGAAAAATGGTCGTGTCTGGTTTTTTCAGTGCCGCTGTAATTTCGAACGGTCACCAAACAAACTGTTGTAAATCAAGGACTCGCTGTGCCCAGTTTGGGTCATGAAACGTCTGCAAGGAAACAACCAAGCTCAGAGAGCACCAAGGACCCCACAGTCGTCTTCTTCCTCCTCCTCTTCTTCCTCTTCCTCTTCCTCTTCTTTCTCCTCCTCCTCCTCCTCCTCCCCCTCTCTGCAAATCCCACATCCTACTAGCACTGATGAAATTACCTACTTGGGTCATGAAACTTCTGCAAGGAAACAATCAAGCTCAGAGAGCACCAAGGACCCCACGGACCTCCTCCTCTTTCTCCTCCTCTTTCTTTTCCTCTTCCTTCTCCTCCTCTTTCTCTTCTTCTTCTTCCTCCTCCTCCTCCTCCTCTTTGCAAATCCCACATCCTACTAGCACTGATGAAATTACCTACTTGGGTCATGAAACGTCTGCAAGAAAACAACCAAGTTCAGAGAGCACCAAGGACCCCACAGTCTTCCTCCTCTTTCTCTTTCTCTTCCTCTTCCTTCTCCTCTTCATCTTCCTCCTCCTCCTCCTCCTCCTCCTCCTCCCTGCAAATCCCACATCCTACTAGCACTGATGAAATTACCTATTTGGGTCATGAAACGTCTGCAAGGAAACAACCAAGTTCAGAGACCACCAGGGACCCCTCATTTCGACCCTGAGCTACAAATATTCTGGCTTTACATGGAATGAGGTGGCGAGCATTTTTCCTTCCATTTAGCCTCTTCCTTCCTTAGTGCAAACAGCAAAAGGAACTGGTTGGTTCCCGTGTGCGTGTGTGTGTGTGTGTGTGTTTGTGAGTCCTCCTTGGAGGGGACCGCTTTCTGCCCTGAACTTTCAGTGCTCATTTGCGTTCAGCAGACTTTTAAGCAGAAAATATAAATATGCATTTCCCCTTAATTCATCGCCTATAAAGAATTCATGTTTGCATGTGAAATAGGGCATCTTGTTCCCGCTACAGGTTCCATTCTGTATTTCTTCTTCTCTTTCTGCAACCCTTGTTGTTTTCCCCTTGCTTCCTCCGCAGCCAACTTGCTTCCCTTACGCTGGGATTCCTCCAGAACAGGGAGTGTGTTGCTGTATTTGTAGGGGTGTGCGTGAGTGTGTTTCAATACAGTCCAGCTCTCACCTCTGCAAATTGCAAACTCTTCTCCTCAAAGACCGTGATACCTTTGTTGACCTGGAGGGCAGCCAAAGGTTTTGGCCAACGGTTGTCTGTAACGCACCAAGCAAATGTTTTAGGTGGAGATTTGGGGGTTGGGAGAGTGAGGGCCAAGGCTTGCCTCTCTTTCAATTATTAATTTATAAAACACTTGAGCGAGCAATCCGGAAAGAATCTCAAACATGCTTTTTTTTTTTTAACGTGTTGTTAGCTCTTGGCAAACCAGCGGCGGTTGCAAAAAGTATGAGAACGGAGGAAGAGGTGCAAAGGAATCGGAAGATGCTGGTGGAACCCTTCTAGTTTCTATATTTGTAATATGAAGCAGTTTTTTCCCCCCCCCTTCTTTTGAAAAAAAAAATAACAAAGGAAAAGTCATGTAGGAGAGCAGATAGTGGTGCAGCTGTGTAGGAGGGCTACTGTCTCTTTCAAATGTTCCTCAATTCCTCCAGGAACTGACCCATTTGCTGATATTTGAATCTGAGGGAAAATAACAAGGGTAGCGGTGAATTGGTGTATCTTGAGTTTGGGGGAGTTCTCTCTCTCTCTCTCTCTCTCTCTGTATCTATCTGTCTGTCTATCTTTATATCTATCTATCTATCTATCTATCTATCTATCTATCTATCTATCTATCTATCTATCTATCTATCTATTTATCTATATGTCTGTCTGTCTCTCTCTACATTATCTACTATCTCTATCTACTACACTCTCTCTCTCTCTCTCTCTCTCTCTCTCTCTCTCTCTCTCTCTCTCTCTCTCTCTCTCTCTTCCTTTCTGCAAAGTAAGAAAACAACCCAGAAAGTTATTTGCAGATGGCAAATCCAATGGAAGCAAGCAACCAGGTGGGGAAATAGACTTTTGACAGAACAAGTTTTGGGTGGACAAACATGAATATTATGGCAGAAAATTAAGGGAAGCAATGAAAGAGAATTCTGAGCAGGAATGGATGGTTGGAAGTAGCCTCTTTCCTAGGAGGTCAAAATGAGTCAGATGGTGTTATGGTAGAAGTCTCACCCCTTTTGGCTGTGGGTCAAAACATGTGGAGCTTGACCCTTGATGTTCTGCAATCTCCCATCTTGCTCATTTGGTTCTCCCTTCCTCTCCTGCCCCCCCCCCGAAGATGTCCCTGAGGACAAAACTAATCAAAGAGAAGAATATTTATGAAAGATCAGCCTATCCTCCACTTTTCCCCATAATGATCTCTTTATTTTCCTACATTCAAACAAAGGATCTCAGAGGCATCACTGAAGGTTTTTAAAGAAGAGATAGGACAGCCATCTGGAATGGAGAATGGAATAGGGTCTCCTGCTCAAGCAGGGAGCTGGACTAGAAGACCTCCAAGGTCTCTTTCAACCATATTATTTTATGTTCTATGTTCTAACATGTTGGATATAATCCGAATTAAACATTCTGGGTGCAGTCTGAAACCATCCTCTCCTACCATGTCATTTCACTGAGTATATGAATCCTACCTGAACTTCCAGTTTGTCATTAGAAAGGAAATAATAATGATGATGATGGTGATGATGATGATGGTGATGTTGTTGGAAGGGACGTTGGAGGTCATTTAGTCCAACTCCTGTTCAAGCAGGAAACCCTATATCATTTCAGACAAATGGCTGTCCGATCTCTTCTTAAAGACTTCCAGTTTTGGAGCATTCATAGTTTCTGGAAGCAGGTTGTTCCACTGATTAATTGTTCAAACTGTCAGAAAGTTTCTCCTTAGTTCTAGGTTGCTTCTCTCTTTGGTCAGTTTCCATCCGTTGCTTCTTGTCCTGCCTTCAGGCGCTTTGGAGAATAGCTTGACTCCCTCTTCTTTGTGGCAGTCCCTGAGATATTGGAACACTGCTATCATGTCCCCCCTCATCCTTCTCTTCATTAAACTAG